ATATATATATATATATATATATATATATATATATCCACTGGACAATTTTTTGTTGAGAGAAAATCGCATTGAATTGAAAAACAAGGAAAATTACAACCGACCTGCAACTTTTTTGCAACAAAAATGGAAGCAAATCATCTTATATATTTTGACAGAAAAAAATCGCATTTATTAAGGTATTGCTTCTTCTTCAATCCTTGCTTGGAAAAAATAATCATTCCTGATTTGTTCCATAAAGAATGCGTCAAGTCATTTTAAAAAATAACAATAAAAATCGCGATATATATACAAGAGAACTATACATTGTACATACTGTGTACAATTAGGGTTAAATCTTATAGTTTGCAGAGCTTTCGTGTACGGCTGCTCTCCTATTCAAACGTTTTGTTCAGTCATGGAGATGATCATGCATCCGGTTAGTAGTTTTGCCAAACTTTAATTCATTTATTTCAATCATAAAATAGTTGATTCATGCTTTGATTACTAGATATATTAGGTTGACTTCATAGTTTTCCATGACAATCTTTTTGGGTACAAGAATCGACATCCATAGTCACACAAAATAGCTTATTTTGTCATTTTCAAGAAAAGAAGATAGCTAAATTTATTTTCTTCACAGGAAAACGCGTAACTTTTATTGTAGGAATTTATGAATTTTTTACGGAATTATATGATCATAGGGATGTGAATGCATCGGATTCTATCAAACCTTTTTTTAGTGATTAAATTTTTTATTCTTTCAGTATTACTCAAATTCTATTTTTGCTTACTCTAACTTCGTTTCACTATATGTTTTCACACTAGACCCTTTATCAAACTCCCTCTGTTGGTAAGTTATCTCACACTAGTCCGCATACGTTTAGTTCGACAACTTTCCTCAGCTAGAGATCATAGCCCTGCCTTCACTCCGGATCCCTTCACCGCCACGCAATCCACTCCCCACCATGAGTGAAAAGATAGCCAGCGTCAACGTCGGCTGCAGCAACAGCAAGAAACTAAAGTGGTTCGCATGGGGCACCGGTGGCCTTATTGTCTTTATCGGCCTCCTAGTGTTTGTTGTGTTCCTCGTTCTCCACCCCTCCAAGCCAAGCTTCAACCTCGAAGACGTCACCTTTTATCAGTTCAACGTCTCCAAGGTACCACCCTACGCCATCACCATCATCATGCAGGTCACACTGTCCTCTAGAAACCCTAATTCTCGGATAGGCGTAGAGTACCAGCCTCTCCACGTCTACGCCACATATCGAGACCAGCAGATAACAATGGCTTATCTCTTGCCTCCTACGTACCAAGGGCACAAGGAACCTGTGGTGTGGTCACCTCCTTTGACTGGCTACGACATGCCGATTTCGCCATATTCGCAGCAGTCTTTGGATCAAGATTGGCATGCTGGGGTTGTCCTGATGAATATCAAGCTTCAAGGGGACGTGAAGTGGAAAGTAGGGACTTGGATTTCGCCCAAGTATCACTTGTACGTGCATTGCCCGGCAAATATCAGGTTTGGGGATTTGAGCAACAGTGGTCCAAACCTCATCAAGGGTCAGCCGGTGGATCATTGCGATGTGGAGATTGCTTCTTAATTTTTTTGTTTTGGTAAAGAGGAGGGCTAGCACCTCATCAAGGGAGTTCAACTACTTCTTAGTTCATTTGATTTCTCTTTTAATTAAATCCCATTGCTTTTTCATTTTTTGTGTTCTTGTTTTTTTTTTTGCGATGTGGATATATATGATTTAAAGGAATTCAATTTCTTATATGTCATTGGAGTGATTGATGTAATTTATTCTTCAAGATACGAAGTCATCATTCTCTGACTTCTTAGATGACCAAAAAGCAAACATCGTCAAACCATATATATCTGTTGTACGCTTTTCATCAAACACGATCCAAACACATGTCAAATATAAACTTGAATTTTGTTATATATTTCCCTAGCAAAGACCAAGAGATGTTAGTAAATAATTCAAAGAAGCTTGCTCAACAGTCTTACGAAAGAAGGAAAAGCAGAGGAACGAGCATGGAAAAAAATCCAGACCCAAAATTGCAATCATCAACACCAAGCCTCTCCATCTCTGCTTCCCCGAATATACACCACCCCCACCCCCACACTTCATCCCTCTCTCCTCCTAATCCGATTTCACACCCACCAATATACAGTGTAAATCAAACACATCATGTGTAGAAATGCTAATTACATTTTATTAACCGCAACTCTCTAAATTAGGTGTCATGCTATTTGTTGAATTCACTAGTGAGATGTCAAATGCAACGAGATTAAGACTGAAAAAGTATAAAAGTAATATTTGTCATCAAGCTGTAATGAGATAGGTATTTTTAATTGACATAACTCTTCCAACCTACGATTTGACTCAGTTGAAATAACTCTTTCCTTCAATTTTTGTCATTTTATGTCCATGTGACTATTTCACATCACTTTTGAAGATGCCGGTAGTTTAGTTATGTGTTCCCAGCGCACCAGTGCTCTAGTGGTAGAATAATACCCTGCCACGGTACAGACCCTCGATTCCCGGCTGGTGCATTACTCGTCAGTTTTACTTTTCTGATTTAAATTTCTTTTTGACGTACCAGTCCACCAACCTCCTCGTCCAAAAGAGACAGTCCACCAAACTGGGAGGAGCGGACCCTAAAAAACCTTTAGAAAGAAAAGGAGAAAACAGAGAGCCGAAAGTCTAGAAAGATGGCTGAAGATAACACAGTCGAAATTCCTAGAGTTAAATTGGGAAATCAAGGACTTGAGGTAGGTACATCTTACTCTTCAAATTATCCTTTCCTGTTCATAGTTTTCAAATTACAACTCTAAAAATGATTTAATCCTAACGCAGGGTAGACTTTGTATTAACAAATCCAATTTACATTTGGGATTGATCTAAAAGGAAAGGGATCAAAAGAAATTACATAGAGGAAAAATAATATGGCCGAGGGGAAGGGAATTCAGATTCCAAGACTGAAACTTGGAACAGTTTTTTCCTGCTTTAGTTCAGAATTTATGATTTCCTTTCAGGTCTCAAAATTGGGGTTTGGGTGCATGGGCCTGACTGGAGTCTACAACTCTCCTGTTGCTGATGAGGATGGAATCTCGATAATCAAAGATGCCTTCAGTAAAGGAATCACTTTCTTTGACACATCTGATGTATATGGACCTCATTTGAATGAGGTTCTTATTGGGAAGGTATGCATGTCTCTCCGCTTCTGAATTTGTCAACTTCAAAGATACAGCTGCTGATGTATATGGACCTCGTTCGAATGATTACACTAACTCCACAAGTTAAGAGAAGCAGAATAAGAGCTAAATGTATATGTCTCAATGTTTTGTATGTTTCTGTTTTTGTCAAGAAGAAGAAACTTGCAGCTGCCTTACAAGTAATGAAGGACTTTTCTATTGATTTTCTGCAAGCCTAATTCCAAAGTTTTAGTTTTCTAGGCCTTGAAGCAGTTGCCAAGAGAAAAAATTCAATTAGCCACAAAGTTTGGTATTACTGGAACCGTTGACCCTCCTGCTATTGCAATCAAGGGTACTCCTGAGTATGTCCGTTCAGTTTGCGAAGCTAGCTTGAAGCGTCTTGGTGTGGACTACATTGATCTGTATTACCAACATCGGGTGGACACTTCAAGGGCAAAAGAGGAAACTGTATGTGATTCTCTTCCTTATTCAGCTGGAATCACCACAATTGTATAATAAACTCTGCATGTTAGTTTGATTAGATACCTTTTTGTTTTCTTTCTGGAGTTTAGATTGGTGAGCTGAAGAAACTGGTGGAAGAAGGGAAAGTAAAGTACATCGGTTTATCAGAAGCTAGCCCGGATACAATAAGCAGGGCACATGCAGTTCATCCCATCACAGCTGTACAAATGGAGTGGTCCCTCTGGACTCGTGATATTGAGGAAGAGATTATTCCACTTTGCAGGCATGTTCAAAATCCTATCTGAGCTATGCAAAATTGGTCCTCTGAATTGGTTTCATAATTGTGCAAATGTTGTCAAACTCAAGCTCTACCTATTACAACTCTAATATGTGTCAATTATCTCATTGGACGGTGTAATGTTATCACATACAGGAAGCTTGGCATAGGTATAGTTCCGTATAGTCCTCTTGGTCGTGGGTTTTTTGGTGGCAAAGCAGTTTTAGAAAGTGTGCCTGCAAATAGCTTCTTGGTAAATGTTTCTTCACCAATTTTTCTGCTTAGTTCATTGTACGTAATACCAAATGTTCCCAATTATATTCTTTAAGCTGTGATTAATTTTTTGCATCTTTCCATGAGGAAGCTTTGAGGGGACTTTTTTTTTTTTTTTTTTTTCGGTTACAAGGACGGCCAAAGCCCAAGAAAGAAAAAAAACCAAAAAGAGAACTACACTAGGACAAGCCTAGCAGTGGTCATCCTAACAGAGTCATTTGCCAAGAGGCTTACAATAGAAGGAGGGGGAAGATCAACAACATGATAACCCAAATTGGAGGTTTGACCAATATGAGCCATTAGTCAGCAGCAATGTTTTGTTCTCTATAAATATGAGAAATGGAACACTCCCAGTCACGTAATAACAAGACTTTGCAACTGTGGATGAGGCTAGAGAGAGGGTGACTAGGCCTAGTCTCTCCATTAATTAAGGATACAGCAGTAAAAGAGTCACACTCCACTATAATTCTTCGAATACCTTCATTCCACGTAAGAAATAAGCCTCTGAAAATACCCCATAATTCAGCTTCAAGGATTTTACCACACCCCAAATTTGTGACGAAGCCCTTAATCCAGCCACCCGTAGAATCCCTTATGATGCCACCAGCACTAATAGATCCCAGCTCACCCATACAACTGCCATCCACATTAATTTTAAAACATCCAGCACTAGGAGGAGAACAATGTAACTTGAGAATTTGTTTGGGGGCCTTAGAATTCCTGGAGCGATTAGCCACCAGCCACTCCCTAGTAAACTGAATGATTGGAATGTGGGGCCAAGGAGGAGGAGTAAAGTTGTCATCAAAAACTTTCTTACATCGCCATTTCCAACAAAACCACAGGGAGGCCAAGAAAAGAGAGGACCAAGGGATACCTTGCATGCAGCTGAAACTAGCCTTAATATTGATGAGAAGCCAGTCCTTGAAATCCATAGAGAAAGAGTGAGCAATTTGATTATCCAATGGAATTCCACATTCTAGCCGCATGACTACACCTGCGAAAAAGATGGTCCAAAGACTCCATGGAAACGTTGCAACAAGGGCAATTAGGATTAGAAGCTAACACGTTGGACATTAGTAAGGAGCTTATCTTGAAACAGCAGCCAAACAAAGGTTTTTATTTTAGGAGGAACATGCAACTTCCAAATAATATCCCAATTCCAAGTATGATTAGTCTCCTCAGTAAACAAAGAGAGATAAGCCGTTTTCACTGAAAATTCACCATTGGAGGTAAGCTGCCAAATACAAGAGTCCACCTCACTATGATTAAAACCAGCATGAATACAATGAATTTTATGCACCACATCCAAAGGAACCCAGCAACCAATTGGTGTTCCAACCTTGCTCCGTGAGGAAATCACTCATAGTCCACTCAAGCGAGTCATCAGGAAGGGAAATGGTGGCG